AAAGCCATCCAAGCAGTGTGCTGTTGCTAGTGGTAGGGCAAATAGGATCTTAAGTTAGAAATACTGAATACAAGTCTAAAGAAGTTATAATTTCATTGTACAGGTCACTGGTTAGGCCACATTTGAATATTGCATTCAATCTTGGGCTCTTTACCTTAGAAACAACATTGAATTGTTGGAAAGGGTTTAGAGAAGGGTTACTAGAATAATGCCTGGGATGGAGGGGCTGTCACATGAGGAGAGGTTGAAATCTCTCAAATTGTTTTCTCCTGGAAAAAGATGAGTTAAGGGGTATCTGTTTGGGGTGTTTAAAATTGTAGAGGGAATTGATAGTGTTGATGCATCTTTTTTCATACTTAAAAGTGATAACAGTAGGCCTAGGAACAAAATATAAATTCTGGCAGGTTAGGAGTCATCTTTAGCTAAGAGAGTTTAATTTTTCTAACAGGATGATTAGCCTTATTAATAGTTTTAATTTAGTTTAGAGGATGGAACAGCCAAGATGAACCAATAGGTCCCATGTTGTCCCCAAACATTACGTTATGTTAATAAGATAGTAGATTGGTGCAATAATTTAATGAAAATAAAAAAAATTATTTAAAGGTGTTTTCATTAGGGTCAGTCTGGAGATGAATTTGTGTGTGGGGGGGGGGGGGATCACTGAAAAACTTTAGGGGCAGGAATTTTTACGTGGGGTCAGTCGAGCAACCGGAAACAAAGCATTTTTTTTCTCTAGGCTTAGGCTACTTCTGCTATATTTGCTGACAAGCTGACTATGAGCCAAAAGAGGTAAATACATCCGTATACAAATCACTAGTCAGCCTTCTTATGTTAGGTATCATAGCTGTATCCACTTCCATCTTTTCAATTAACTGTGTCAAAGGCTCTAGGAGTAAGATAATTCTGGAGTCCCACAGTACAACTTCATTATATCAGTATCATTATATTAAGTCTAACATGGTACTTTAAGTGTTTTGTGGAATAAATGATGAACACACAACAACAACAAAACTTATCAGTTAATTGTAGAGTTTCATGAATTTATTAACTTAGTGCTCAACATTTAGAAATTAAATACTACAAAGGAAAAAAAAATGAGGCATCATCTACTGCTTAATTTTATAGCTAAAATAAATGACTCAAGTTTAAAACCAATCTGCATTTTAAACATGACAGTCAAGAAAGAAAAAAAAAATTAGATGGGCACTGTATGATACCACCAATACCATCCAGAGTCCACACCCCAATTTCCAGGAAGTATTGATTCATTTCACTTTTTACATTATGCAAATATATTTGGAAATGCATTCCAGTATACTTTATATCATTACCAGTAGCTTTTAAGCTTTACTGCATAACAATAAATATATCTAAAAATACTCTTTTGCACATGTGATCTTTTATCTTGAAAGTTGAATTGTGAATGTAAACATCAACATTCAACTTCAAGTATAATCCTGAATGTTTACAAATACAATCACATTAATTTTATGACGCTCATATTGTACAGTAGAAATATACTTTTTTCCTATGCGTTTTTATTTTTTCTCTCTATAAATTGAACTGAGCAGATGACACTATGACTATGTTAAAAAACAAACATTTAAGTTTTCAGTATTTGTTTTAACTCGTATGGAATCATAATATTAATAATAAAGTAGGCTTAACGTAGTACCTAATGACGTTTTAAATACAATATTCGAAAGTTTATCACATTTTCAACGGCCGGTTTGTTTCTGCTTTTGTTTTAGTTTGCACACAATGCGAGTATTTGATAATGATAGCAATTACTGAATTAGTATGATATTGATACAATTATTTGTACGTTGCTCATTGTATTTCATTACTTAAACTTTACATCTCTCATTTACTTGGTTGCTCAAAAATAATAAAATTAAAAATATTTCTCACCATTCTTTGATGTGCTTCTTGTGATTATCTCAAAAAACGGTAGCTAAAGTTAAAACTAAAACCTAAACACCCAGTGATTAATACTAATCGAAAAAATTAATTCAAATAATAACAATACTAATATCACATTTTCCTGAAAACCAGAGAACATCTCTATTACTTATGTTAAATTCTCACAATGCATGTATGCTTAATATTAATAAGTAATATTACAAAATATAATAAAGCGACAAACATAACATGCTACATAATTATACACACATTATTACAAATGCAATAGCAACGGAGCACAAAATTACAATTTACAAATTACGAGCATAGAGACAGTGGTGACGCCGGGGTTTTATGGCGGCCTAGTTTCGTACTTCTGCACTAATTATTAATGTTCTTTTTAATTTTTGTCAAATATCTGTTCGAAAATATGAATTATCGAAGAAAGTCAAACTTGAGGAAAAAAAATTATAAAGCATTTCGGAAAACTAGTAGGACGGTTGTTACAATACAAATTAAAATCTGACAACTCCATCAACAAAATATAAAACGTCTATGATCTATGAGTATCATTGAAACGTTGTTCTTTCGTTGAGCGGATTATAATAATTAAATTATTTGGTGAATGTAATCTGAGGTCCACTGCACATAATGATAAAAATGTGCTTAATTCTTCCTTAACGTTTCCACACTTCACTTGTAGTGGTACAGTATAGTAACTTGAAGGCCTAAGTTTTAAAAAAGACGTTCAAACGAAAATACCTTGCTAATTGTACTATGATTAACGTACAAAATAATTTACTGATACAATTTACGACTAATCGGCCGAGTAACATAATTTATAAACGCGATAACTCAGATTGATAATATTTATATCTGATATCTCATTTCTAGATATTTATGGAAATTACAAGATTTTCGGGACGTAATCTAGAACAGTTCTAGGTATTCTTGGCCTAGTTTTATGAACTTTTCTATTTTAGCACCATGCGCTCTCTAGCTAACACATAATTTAACATTGAAGATATGGGTTACAACACTGCCCTCTTCATGAATTGTGAAGTTCTGTGAACAATCTCAATACAAAAATACTACACTAAACTATCCATTCATAAGTCTTTCTGGTGGTTTTCTCTTCCGAGGCCCATAGTATACAGATGAGATGGCCAAGCTCTTGTCCTTATTTTTACTGGCTGTCCAAGCTGAGGGAATTCTTCCTAGGTAGGTGATCAAGTGAATATACTGGTGGCTTAATCCTCGATGATCCACTGGAAGTGGTCTCAAAAGAAACATTGGTTTCCTCAATAAATTGAGTTTAAACTAGAATATTGTCTGTTGTTATTCAGTTAGTCATTCTCTCACTTAGGTACTTCTAAAGACAAACGCAGTGAATGACCTTTGGTTTGGATTACTCATTCTTCGGTATCTTGTACTACACCAAGTCCTTATTTATTTTCAGAACAACATGTTGACCTTACCAACTCCTGCTTAACTTTGGAGTTCGTCCTTTCTAACGTTCACCCACATAAATTGCCTATTGATTTAACAGTGTCCAGTTTTATCTCTGCAGGAGATGAATGATGGTTGTTCTCCTAGTGTTTCCGATTCCAAGAATCTAACACATTTCCACAAACAAGGTCAGCTCAAAATTCAGTCTCTAATCTGAGTGCGCCCCCAGTGGCCTGTGGTATGTCTGCGGACTTACAACATCAGAATCCGGGTTTCGATACCCGTGGTGGGCAGAGCACAGATAGCCCATTGTGTAGCTTTGTGCTTAATTACAAAGAAACAAACAAACTAATCTGAGTGAAGCTCTATATGTACCCCAAATCTTGAAATGATTGTTTGTTTTTTAATTTCGCGCAAAGCTACACGAGAGCTATCTGCGCTAGCCATTCCTAATTTAGCAGTGTAAGACTAGAGGGAAGGCAGCTAGTCATCACCACCCACCAACTACTCTTTTACCAACAAATAGTGGAATTGACCGACATTATAACGCCCCCACAACTGAAAGGGCGAGCATGATTGGTGAGACGGGGATTCGAACTCCGTTGGCGAGTTGACCGCCCTAACCACCTGGCCATCCCGGGCCTTATATTTGTGAGTGAATACTTTATTATTCTTAAGTTTTGTTATAATAAGAGTTAAAAGCAGACGATTGTAGAAGGTTTTGTTGATAACTAATTGGTGTCGAGAATATAGAAAATGGCCAGACGATTATGTAAAAAAGATATAAATAGCTTGAGACGAGCGGCAAGCAGCCGACAGACTCTATTAGACAGAAAAAAACAAAGAGAATATAGTAGGTGTGAAGTTAAGTACCGTAAAAGTGATAGTTCTAACGTTTAATATGTTAGAGTGAAACTAACAGTATAAAAAAAGATAAGAAGGATAAATTTATTCCGTCAAAGCGTGGATCTAAAGTACTTGAATCAGCGTGGGTACACTTTGACAAAAGGAACAGAGGATCTTCAGAAGAAGACCAAACGAATTACGGTAACTTGCGCCACAACTGTAACTTAAGTGAATCACACACAGAATACTATTACGATAGTAATATAGAGAAGATAGATCGATTTGTCAACTGAAATTCTAAAGTAAGTGAATAGGCCTAAGTGGACTTTTCACAAGAAGAAGAGAACTATACATACAAATAGTATTTATAATATGCCTGTAATCTCTGTAGTGTGAAGACTTTGTTGTACAAAGGTTTAACTTGTTCCGAATATATATATATTGTTACGACAGCGGAATTCACGTGACGCTGGGAACACTTAATGAGTATCTAGAACGTTCGTGAAGGATCGAGTGTTTACCAGATGCCCTCTATTTCGTATATATAAGACCGGCGAGAAGTGACGACATAGATAGATATATAATTGCAGACAGGCAGAGATAGAGACGGACAATTCAGTCAAGCGCGGTAGTAACAAAAGTGCGTGAATCGTTCGTTGTGAATTATAGCGTGTGTTTAAGTTAAAGAGAATGTGGAAATTAAGTGTATTGCAAAGTTGAACTTAGAAAGAATAAACTAGTTTTATTTAAGAAAAGACTTGCATCACTGAAGTTTCTCGGAAGGAATTTATACGAAAAACTAACAAACGAACACAAACGTAACAAATTGGTGTCAGAAGTGGGATGGAAAATAAAAAGAAAAGAAGAAGAAGAAGATAGAAACGAGAGGTGGCAAATCAAACTACAGTTTAGCAGCTTTGATGGCAGCAATACAAGACAGCAAAAGAAACAAGAAGAGAGACAACAACAGTTGCAAGAAAACCTGCAACAGTGGCAGCTTGAACAGCAAAATAAACGAGAAGCGAGATTACAGCAGTTGTTGGAGGAAAAAGAAAAGAAACAAGTAGAAGAAGAAAAGAAACAAGAAGAGCGATT